GCCCCGCCGGGGCCGCGGGGCCGCTTTGCCCGGGCACGCGGCTCAGCCGCTCGGTGAAGGGCCGGGGGCCGCGTCCCGGCCCTGGGCTCCCCGGGCCGGACGGGCTCGCAGGGAACCCCGAGCGGCAGCCGGGGTGTCCGGCTGCGGCCGCCCGGAGCCTCAATCCCGCAGGCTGCCGCTGCGGGACGCGCGGGTCCGCCCGGAGCAGCCCCGGGCACCCCGCGGGCCGGGCCGGCCCGAGCAGCCCCGGCGGGTCCCTGCGCCGYGGTCTTGCTTGGCCGCCCCGGAGGCCGAGCGGGCTGTAAACAGCGGCGGGCGCTGGGAATGAGGCTGGGAATGGTTAACGGCAGGAAGCTGAGTCAGCTCGGGAAGAGCCGCTGGGAACAGGAAGGGGTCGGGGTGCCGCGAGGCCGTGGGAGCCTCGGGATGCGCCGGGCACAGGCGGCAGCCCCGGGGCCCGCGCGCTCCGAGGAGAGCGACGGCGAGGACGGGGCAGCGGCGGCACCAGGGCGGCGGCGCTGGGGAGACCGGCGGGCGGCGGGGCCGAGGGGATCCCCGCGGGGGCCGCCCCGCGCCAGCGGCCACTCTCGGGGCACCGGCCGCTCGTCCCGCCTGCCCGGAGCCGCCGTCGCTCCGAGGGGAGCAGTGGGGCCGGACCGGGGCCGCGGCAGGGAGGAGCCCGCTGGGGCGCGGGCGGGCGGGAGGCGACCCGGTCCCGCGGCCGGCTCGGGGGTCCYGCGGGCTCGGGGCTCCCCGCTCGTGCCCCAGTCTTCCCGCCCTCTTGGCCGGCGGCTTCCTCGGTTGTCCCGGGTCCCCTGCACTTCCCAGCCGAGTGGCGGAGTTGAGGGCTCCTGGGGCAGCAGCTTGTGCTGCTGAAGGGGAAAGCAGCCCATGGGGCTCCCGCCTTCCCCCCATCCCCGTGTCCGTTCTCCGACCTGTCCCCTTGGTTTCCTGCCTACGCAGGGCACTTGGGGGGCTGGCATTGACCCCCCTGCGCTGCCCACACCCAGGCCTCGGATCTGCCCCGTGCGAGGCTGGCTGCGGAGACTCTGCTCYGGAATGACAGGGGGAGGCCCAGGGCTTTATTTGCTTCTTTTTCCCCGTTTTTTTCTCCCGTGCCGCCTTTTGGCTCCGCGCAGCTGGAGGAGGATTAGCCCATATAAGGGAAAACTGCTGCCGCTCCCCCTGCTTCCTTCCTGGCTCCCCCCGACCCTCTGCTCTTTCTTCCTCTTCTCCCCTCTCCCAAAACGGGACCGTGGGGGTGTCCCTGGAGCTGCTGGAAGCCAGAGGGGCTGGGGGTCTCTGGGACCAGATGCGGCCTCTGTCCCRTGTGGCTCCCAGACTGGAGCTGTTGGGTCCCCCTCGCGCCGCTGTCCCCAGGTGTCCCCTCTGTCTGCCGGCCCGTGGGAGGCAGCTCTGATCCCAGGGAACGCTTCGAGGAGCCGCCTTGGGAACGGACCTGGGCCCTGTGCCCAGGGCAGAGCTCCCGTGTGGCTGGGCTCCAACCGTGTCGTTGCCCCCATGGGTGCCCTGGGCACTGCGCTGGTGACGCCCGGCCCAGAGGGGCCGCCGTGGATGGGATCCTGCAGGCCGGTGGTGGCGTTGCCAGCGCCCGCCCGCGGAGCCGCTTTGTGCGGCCGCCGGCCCCTTATGCGGCGCCCGGCCCCAGCTGCGCTTTCCGGCACGTTTCCCCCCCGGCCACGGCGCCTTCAAAGCCGCCTCTTTTCCCCGGCCCGGCCCCGCGCTGACGTGGGCTCCCGGGCGGCCCTTTCTGCCGCCCCGTGCGCTGTCCCCGGCGGGGGACGAGGATGCGGCCCCTGCCCTGCGCCGGGCACCCCGGGGGCGGTGGGCAGCTCGTGGAGCAGCCGCACGGCCTCCTGGCGCCTTTGTCGGCCCATGGGCTGCAGCTGCAGGAGAGCCCGACCCACTGCCCTCCCTGCTCATCCGAGCCCCCAGCCTGGTGTCCTCCAAGAGGGGCTCTCRGGGTCTGCGTTTTGGCCGGCAGCTCTTCCCAGCTCTCCGCACACCCTCGTTCCACCCTGCGTGCGCTGGAGCYGGGCGTMCCGCACCGGGAAGCAGAGCCTGGYGGAGCTGCCCACCTCCTTCCGTCCYCTGTTRCCATGTCCCCATCCTTGCAGCCCATATCCCTTCCCTGCAGGACCTTCCGGGGAGCGGGAGCATGGATGGGAAAGGCGAGCGCCTGGTTTCCTGCTCTGCAGCCTCCCCACCTGTTTCCTTCCTTCCTTCCTCCCTCTTCCTCCTCCTCCTCCTCTCCAGTGTGTCCCAGCTCTGCTCTGTGGGGGGAAGCCCCCTTCAATAGAGCCGCGGCGGGGGGGGACACACCCCAGCAGAGGGCTGCAGCCCCCAGGCCCTTTGCCAGGCAGGAAGATGCTCCGGGGGCCACAGGATGCGCAAAGCGGCTGCAGCGGGTGCGATAGGGGCTGCAGCGGGGGGACATGCAGCATGTCCGCCCGCTGCTCCAAGCCGGGGAATGTGGGCAGAGCTGCTCCGCGCCAGCGGCAACGGGTCCTGCCCGGCCAGCGCTGCCGGTGCCCGCGGGGACCCTGCCTGCCGAGCCCACCCGGGGGGCTGCGTGGGGGTTGCTGAGCCTGGCTCCTGCAGCCAGCTCCCCAGCAGCGGCACCTGCTTTGGGTCACGGGGCTCTGTTTTTAACGGGTTCCACGAGAAAGGGCCCTGCGGGCTCCCTCGGAGGCGCCCAGCGGGCCGGGCGCCCATGTGGAATCGGCCCTGGGTGTGCGGGGGGGCTGATCCGGGGGACCCGTCACGGCGCCTGGGGGGCTGTTGCTCTGGGAYGGCTCCTGCTCCCGACTTGGGCTCTGGGAGCCGCCTGGCAGTGGTCACGGCCACCCCCTCGATGGGGTGTCGGGATCCCGCGTGCCGGGGGGGACGAGGGCCCGCGTGGGCAGAGCGGCACAGAGGGCCCCTTTGTGCCGCGTGTGGGCGGCCGGCCCGGCGGAGGGCGGCTCCGGGGCCGCGCTCGGTGCACAAGGGCTCTGTCCTGCTCCGCTTGCAGCTGGAGGGGACGCTGGACCTGGCCGAGCGGCGCCGCATCCGCTCGGCCATCCGGGAGCTGCAGCGGCAGGAGCTGGAGCGGGACGAGGAGGCGCTGGCATCCAAGCGCTTCCGCTCGGAGCGCGGCAGCCACCGGCAGGACAACAAGGAGAACTGGCTGCGGTGAGAGYGGGGTCCCCGTCCCGAGCCCGGTGCTCCCCATCGCAGGGTGCYGGGTGGGTGGGAGCCGCACAGGAAGAGCCTGGCGCGCGGGGCCCCTGGGATGTGACGAGCCGCTCCGCTGCCCTCCGCCCCGCGCAGGTCGCAGCAGCTGGAGGAGGAGCAGCAGAAGGCCCTGGCCTCCCTGTCCCAGCAGCTCGAATCCATCTCCGACGTGGAGGAGCTGACCAAGCTGGTAAGTGCCCTGGGCCTGGGGCTCCGGCTGGGGGCTGCTGCGCGGAGCCTGCTGCCCGTGGGGCGTCCCAGCCGCTCCTGGGGACGCTCAGCCCATGTCCCGTGTCCCGACCGGGTCTGTCCCCGTGCAGCTGCGGGGGGCCAGCGAGTAYGAGGAGCGCAAGCTGATCCGCGCTGCCATCCGCAAGCTGCGCGCTGAGGAAATCGAAGGTGAGGAGCCCCACGCGCCCCAGCGCAGGCGGCCGYGGCCCCAGGCCGCCCCGTGCCCACGGCTCCTGCCCGCTTCCCGCAGCGGCGGCGCTGGCGGGGAGCGCGCGGAGCAGCCGCACCAGGGACGCGGAGCCGCCGACTACAGCAGCGGAGAGTGGCCCGAGTGGGGAGCGCGCGCGGGCAGCCCTGCCCGGCAGCCGCGACGGAGATGCCGCCGAGCGCCCCGCGCACGATGCCCACACGGACAACAGCCGGCAGCACCAGGACGAGCCGCCCGTCCCGGCCGTGGGCACCGAGAGCAGCCCCAGCGGCGACGCCGACGCGCCGGCGGCTCTGGAGGCAGCCGCAGCCGGACGCCCAGTGAGTGCCGGCTTCGCTGCAGCATTCCCTGCTCCTCCGCGAGGTTCCTTGTCCAGGGCTGGAGGGGATGCGCTGTGCCCAGGATGCTGTGACCCCCCTGCCTGGGGCTGGACAAGGGGTGGAAGGGGCTGTGAGGAGCAGTGAGGGTGGGATGTGCCGCGGGCACAGGGAATGGCGGGATCTGCGGGATCCTTCCCTGCAGTGGCTCCCTTGGGGCTGTGTCCTTTGGGCAGCCCCGCTGCTGCCCGCCCCGGCCCCGCTGCCCCCCCAGCCCCTGCTCCCACCCTGCTGCTCGCCTGGTGCCTGGAGGTGCCGCTCTCCAGCCGGGCAGGAGGAAGGAGCGGGACCCGCAGCACCCGGAACCCGGCCTTCCCTACCGCCACTACCTCATCCTCCTCTTCCTCCCCGCCGGGGTCTGCTGCTGCTGCCGCCCTGCCGAGGCCCGGTGCCCCTCGGGTAGCTCTGAGCAGCTCTCCCTGCCTCTCTGGCTTATCCGCTCCTTGGAAAGCGGGGACAGCGACCCTAAAATYGGCACCCAGGACTGGGGTGGTAAGCCAGCCTTCCCCCGTGCGCTTGCTGGGACCCGTCCCCTCGTCACCTCTGCACTGGTCCCTGCGGCTCGTGCTGCTCTGGGGTTCATGCCGGGACCTCTTGGTCCCCTCGTGGAGGGGCTGCCCCTGGTTTTGCCACCGTGACGTGCGTGGCCGCAGGCTCCGGGTGCCCCTGTGCTGTGACAGGGACGTGGGCAGAGGAAGGCGGGGGCACCTGGCGCCCTCTCTGCTCCCATGAGCCCGGGTTGGGCCGGGCAGGGCCAGGCCGACACGGAGCCATGGGCCGGGCTGGGCATCGGTGCTGCCCCGTCCTGGGGCTGCGCTGCCTCTTTGGGCTCGGGACGCYGCCGTCGCTGCGCAGGGACCATGTTCTCCACCCGTTCCTGGCGTTGGTGYTGGAGAAGGCTGGGAAGGGGCTGCCTGCAGGGCGAGGGCAGGAAGGCGGCAGCGCTCCGGGCTCCTGGTGCTTCCCCTGGTGCTTGCCCCCTGGAGCCGGTCGGGAATGCGGAGCGCCCGGAGAGGCCTCCGCAGCTGGCAGCACCTCCCGACCTGGGCGCAGGCTCTTACAGATGCACCTTGTGCCTGGAGGTGCCCCGGGAAGGGAGGAGGGTCCCTGGGGGTCGCACGGCCCTGGTGGTGTGGCCGGCCTGGCSCTCACTGCCTGCGCTCCCCAGGGAYGTGAGCGAGGCAACGTGGAGGAGCGGGAGCACGTCCGCACAGAGAGCCCGGAGCCGCAGAGCGCCCCGCAAACACCCGGCGCCCGCGGTGAGTGCACGTGGATGGATCCTGCTTCCCGCGGGGAAAGCCCTGCCCGCCTTCCGGGATGGGGCAGTGTCAGAGGACCCTGTGGCAGGGCTGGGAGGACGGAGAGYGCTGCAGGGGCTCTGGGAGCGGGCAGGGGAGCTGGGATTCTGCCCGGGGCGCTGGGCTGGGAGCAACGTGCAAGCGGCTTGGGGCTTCCTCTGAGGAGCTTCTTCTGTGTCCCGTAGATGCAGCCTCGGGGACCCTCGTGCTCCTGGATCTCCAGCAGGTCCCAGAGGCCTGTCCTGGTGCTGGGCCAGAGCCCGAGGAGGTGGTCGAGGAGCTGGCGGCTCCGGCTGCCCTGCGGTACCAAACTTGGGAGGAAAAGGGCCCGGAGCGGCCGCGCACGGAGCGAGACCCCGTGGCAGAGCAGCCGGAGGCCCCGCATGGCACCGGCACCCAGGAGAGCTCCCGCCCGGAGCAGGCGCCCCCGGGAGCGCCCTGCGCCCTCAGCCAGGCCAGCCAGGTACCGACAGCGGCTGCGCGAYGCCGGGTTCGCGGGGCAGCCCGGGCCGGGCACCGGGGGCCCCGCAGAGCTCTGGCCACAGCGAAGGCGCCCGGCAGCTCCCCTCGGCCCCGGGCTGCTCCGCGAGGCCTCGTGCCAGCCGCTGTCGCGGGGCTCAGCGCGCCCGGGTGCGCGGCGCGGCCGGCTGCCCGCTCAGCGCCCTGTCCCCGGCCCTCCCGCAGTTTGTCGTCTGCGTGAGGGGCCACGTGCCGCCGGGGAACCCTCCTGCGCAGAAGGCAGCAGGTGAGAGCAGTCCTTGCGAGGGAAGTGGGGCGGCGCGTGGCGCGTCCCCCCCGCCGGGCCGGTGCCGCCCGCTGCCGCCGAGCGGGCAGCGCAGCGCCGCGCAGGAGGCGTCCCCAGCAGAGCCAGCCTGGGGACGCGACTTGTGTCCGCACGGGCTGCGGGATGGAGCGGCAGGATGGGGTCAGCCCAAAGGCTTTCCGCACTGACCCGTCCGCCTTGCCCTGGCCGCTGCGGTGCCCGCCTTGGCCCGGCAGAGTGGGGTGCCGGGCGCCGTGTTTACATGTCCCCCCGCTCCTGCCCTCCTGCCGCCGGGCCATGAAAGGGAATCCGTGCACACACCAAACTCCGGCCTTTTGCATTCTTCATCCCAATAAGGCCGGGAGCAGCGCGCGGCGCTGCCCCATCCCCCCGGCCGCACGCGGCCTGCCCGGCACCGCTGCCGTGGCCGCCGGCAGCGGCCCTGGGCTGCCCCCGGGAGCGCCCGGCCCTCCTGCCGCCGGGGCTCCTGCCGGGGCGCTGCGCCCTGCACCCAGCCGTGTCCCCTGGGTCCGGTGGCTTGGGAAGCCGCGGCGTCCAGCGGGAGCTCTGCCCCAGCCACCCCTGCCCTACTGCTGCCCCCAGGGCAGGGGCCACGGCCGCCCCCACGTGCACCCCTGTGGACCCCAGCTGGAGCCCCCTGCCCGTGCCCACCTGATGTGACACCGGCACCCCTTGTTCTGCTACCTACCCCCGTGTCCTGGCACTGGGCCCGGCTGCCCCCGGCCGCCCTGCCCCTTGCTCCCGTGCTGTGGGGTTTGGCGCCGCAGAGCGGGGCCCTCTGCTGAGCCGCGGGCTCTGGGGTGCAGGGTGGGGGTCCTGGGTGCCCCGCTCTGCAACGCGGGGGTGACCCCGCACAGCCTGTGGGCGCACATGGGATTGGGAGGCCGGCAGCGCTGCCCGGCGCTGCTCTGACCTCCCGCTCCCCTCGCCACCTTCCTTGCGTGCCCGCAACTGTCCTGTCCCGTCCCCTGTGGCAGCAGGTGCCCGGCGCGGAGCGGGGGCCCCGTCGCACCCCGACACTCACCCGTGGCAGCAGGAGCCGTCGCCGCTGCGCCCAGCTGGCCGCGCAGGTGAGGGCCCCGTGCCGGTGCCCGCTGCGCGCTGGCGCCCTGCGCCGCCGGGACGCGGSGAGCCACGTGCACCGCCGGGACGTGGGGCTGCTCTCCCTGCTCGCGGGGCCGCTCTCTGCAGGGAGGGGGGACGAGTTTTGCTCCCTCGTCCCTCCAGGGCCTGTCCCTCTGCATGCGATGACGGGCGCTGCTGCACGGAGCCTGTCTGAGGGTGCTGCAGGGGCACCCGGGGGGGCCGCGGGGGCTGCGGGGCCGGCCCCAGCAGACAGCGGGGGGGCTGCAGGCACTGTGGGGGTCCCCAAGGAGGCCGCRTGCACCGTGGTCTGCCCTGGCTGCGCAGCGGTGGCTGCGTGCACTGCAGGAGCCCCACATGCAGCCGCATGCATTGCAGAGACCACATGCACCGCGGGGGATGCTGGGGGGGGGGGGCTGCATGCACCGCAGGGGACCCCAAAGAGGCCACATGCACCCCGGGGAGGCCACATGCACCGTGGGGAACCCTGGGGGAGCTGCATGCACTGAAGGGAGGCCACATGCATTRTGAGGGACTCCGGGGGGGCTGCATGCACCGTGGGGGACCCCCAAGGAGGCTGTGTGCACTGCGGAGAGGCTGCGTGCACCGCGGGGACCCCGAGGAGGCTGCATGCACCCTGGGGAGGCCACATGCACCATGAGCGACCCTGGGGGGCTGCATGYGCCGCAGGGGGGGCTGCATGCA